GTCCCTCCAGCCTCACTTATCTGCCCTCAGCTTCGGGGACATTTAATCCCTAATCTCCCGAGGAAGCCATGCTATTACATATAATCACCTGTAGTGTGTAGACGGATCTTCATTCAGTACTTGACTGCATTTACTGTGTAACACTCAGTCATTCCATCTTGATTTCTGATCAATTGTCAAAACTCATTGTTTATAGATATGTATATGTATAAGTCTTTATTACTAATAATTATATTCTACATTATTTTGTTTATTTCTAGTTTACAATCTGTAGTTGACAAGCCGCCAGTAGGAGGCAAGGAGCTAATTCCATTACCAAGCCATGCTCTATCTGGTTTTCGACTTAATCCAGGCCCAGTAAGTTTTTAGCTTTGTATGTATTTTACTCTTGAAACTGTAGCATGCTATTTTTCATTAACACAGCTATGAAACTGCAATGTAGATTGGTTTGTTGACTGTGTGCAAAGGACCACAGAAGCAGAGSAGGGAGGGCTGTAGCCCACTCCAATACTTTTTTTGGCATATGTTTTTTATTTTGCTCTTAGATAATGTGAAAAACTAATATCCTGATTGCAAGAATGGAAACTTAATAATAAAATGTTATTTCGACCCTTATACTAATACCTTTAGGCAGTGTCAAGTAATATTTTCATAGTTTCACTGCATTATATATCTTGTTGAAGCTCCTCAAAACACTGAAAATGATGTTTCTGAGGTTCAAAATTTCAAAAATTCTTTCCCAGGCTTCTTGACTTAGCCTTGGGTGTGGGGTTAGCCCAGCATCACAACTCAAACTAATGCTCCACTGTGCATTTCTTATACCATACAATACAATGCAATGTTTATTTTCAAATGAATCTAATACAAAATGATAGTGGCATAAAGTGTGACAGTTGGTTTGTGTGCTTGCTCTACGKAATGTGTGAGTTCACCAGTTGAGTCCTGTCTGTGGTGAATTTTTGAGAAATCGTTGATACCTCTGTCATGTCCTAGTGACATAACACCAACATTATTAAGAGTTTAATATTTATATCTTTGCCAGATTCCCGAACAATTTAGGTTTATGAGCCAGCAACCTTTAAAGAAAAAACACCGACATAAAAAGCACAAGAGTCATGATAGTGATTCAGGAAAAAACATCAATGATACAACAGGTATCTCAGATCTTAATCATAATTAATCAATTGAATGCAGAAGAAAAACTGTTTTTAATTCAAATTAACTTGGCAATGAATAGCTTTCCATGATCTTAAATCTCAATTTGGGGATTCAGTGCGATTTGAGGTAAATAGTGTGGGTCGCACATCTACCAGATTCACTATATAATATCAWCCGTGAGGGGCATACATGTAACTGGTATCCATCAATAATGTCAACATGTGTATTAATTTTGGYCAGAATTACTTTGAAAATTTCACTTATACTGTAGAACCCTATGTTGAAAACAAACCAAAACTTTGGTATGTGAGTCTTTGTAGCAATCACTATGTACCTTTAATAATCATCATATTCTTTGTATGCGACCATGAATTTGCAATAGAGGCACATTATTAGATGAAATTCTAAAATTGTGTTCATTTTAGTCCAATTCTGAGAATGCAMATGTTTCTATCATCATGGTTATAATGGCTACCTTTATTAAGAAAAGGAAGGAAACTGGGCTTCATCTTTGTTGCGCCAGATCATTAAGAAACAAAGTTGAGGCTGATCGTGATACTGCAACCATTGCTGGCATGTCACCAACTGGCTACGAATTTAGAAATTTTGYACGACTATCTGATAGACGCGCTGGAGGCACTGGCGTTATGTTCAAAAACTCACTGAATGTGAACTTGTCTGATGGAAACGAGAAGCAATCCTTCGAGTTCTCTGAATGGTCAGTACGTTGTCGTCAACAAGTTATCTATGTAGTATCTGTCTATCGTCCTCCTTACTCGGTGGACCATCCGATCTCCCCAAGAGTTTTCTTTGAGGAATTCTCGGCATATCTTGAAGATATAGTTATGACACCTGGCATTCTTCTGATAACGGGTGATTTCAACTTTCACGTCGACTGTCTTTCTGACAATGATGCTAAGAAGTTCTTCAGACATATTGTCTTAAACAGCACGTACAGGTACCAACTCATATATCTGGCCACACACTGGATCTTATCATCACAAGGTCGAACAATGACTTAACTGTATCCTCGCCTAAAGCCTCTATGTTACTATCAGATCACTTCTTTGTCGAATGTAGTTTGAACATTCCTAAACCTAGCTCCATTGTTAAGGAAATTACATATCTYAAACTTAAAACACTGGATTTTCATGTATTTAAAGCTGATATCTTGGAATCTATTCTTTGTACTTCTACATGGAATAACGTTTCCGATCTGGCCTCATGCTATGAGAATACGATGGCATCATTGCTTGATAAACATGCTCCTCCACAAAGGAAAGACGTTGTTGTGCGACCCAAATTGCCTTGGTACACAGACAGCCTGAGAGAGCTTAAAAATGAAGCGAAGAAAACTGGAAAGAAGAATGCTACTTACAGGTCTTCATGAGGACAAGCTGGCATATCGTAATACACATGATGAATATACTAAACTACTCAGTGATACCAAGAAGAGTTACTATGCCAATGTTGAATTACCACCACAAGACTCTCAAAGTTTAGCAAACGACTTTGGTGCGTTTTTTATCAAGAAAATCGAGCTTATTCAACAGGACATTGATAAAATCATGGTCAATCAGCCTGAAGTCAATCTACAACATCCTCATGCTAGATTAGAGAGTTTTTATGAGCTTACAGAAGATAATGTTCAACGCATTATAATGTCATCAAGCAATGCCACTTGTAATCTGGATCCAATACCAACATGGTTAGTCAAAAGCTGCTCGGACGTGTTGACACCTGTTATCACGCAAATGTTAAATTTGTCATTGCTGGAAGGCAAATTTCCTACTCCATGGAAAAACGCTGTAGTTAAACCAATGTTAAAGAAACCAGGAATTGATCCAATCTTAAAGAATTACAGACCCGTGAGCAACCTGCCGTTTGTTGCTAAAACTGCAGAGAAAGCTGTCATAAACCAGTTAATGGATTACTGTACTGGTAATCATCTTTTACCTGATAACCAATCATCCTATAGAAAACATCATTCCACGGAAACAGCACTTGTTAAAGTTCACAATGATATACTCACCAGCATGGATAGACAGGAAATTACTTTTCTGATACTGCTCGATCTCAGTGCTGCTTTCGATACGATCAATCACGGTCTAATGATAGATATCTTGGAATATGACTTAGGCATGGCTGGTGTTGTCAAGAAGTGGTTTGAATCATACTTAGATTCGAGACAACAAAGAGTTATAATTAAACAACAAATGTCTGATTGTTTCGAGCTATCTTCTGGAGTACCCCAGGGTAGTTGCGTTGGACCAGTTTTGTTTCTCATTTATTCCTCTGGACAACTATGCTCTGGACTATTCAAAGTAGCTGGTAAACACCTAACGAACATTCACACATATGCCGACGATACTCAATTATATCTGTCGTTCAAGCCCACCTCACAAGAGAATGCTGTTAACACAATTGAAGTGTATTACTGATGTGCGCACTTGGTTGGTTTCAAATCGTCTTCTGATTAATGACTCAAAGACCGAATTCTTAATAATTGACTCACGTCAACAACTAGCTAAGATCAACGTTGAGAGTGTTACAGTAGGTGATGCTATGATTAAACCTGTAACATCTGTGAGAAATCTTAGCGTATGTTTTGACCACCACATGACAATGAACGATCATATTGGAAAAATTTGTAGCAAAGCATTTTACAGCCTGTATAATCTCAGACAGATAAGGAAATATCTACCTGATGATGCCTGTAAGATCCTAGTACATGCTCTTGTGACATGTCATCTAGACTACTGTAATGCCTTACTGCATGACATCCCGC